CATGCCCCTTTGGCACTCCTCGCCAAGCAGATCATTCTCCTACCTGAGTTCCTGAAGAGCTGTCCAGATGGCCCAGATCCTGTCGACGTTGCTGTGGTGAAGGTAGAAGATTGGATCAAAAGCACTGTAGGACAAGGTGGCCAAGCTGTACTGCTCTTTGCCTCCCACGAGGGCGTGGATCAAATTGTGGGCGACCTCAAACTGAACCTATGGGACGGAAGAAAATATGGGCAAATAATTGATGTACAGTATTTAGGTTGCCTGTATGTGTTGCTTCTTTTTTTAAAAACAAACAGGGAAAAGCAAATAATTAAAAGAAAAGCTTTTAAAAATGGAACTGAAAGAATTTACTGTCAATATTTTACTGTCCTAACATATAATTATATAATTTTCTTAATTTTTATTCATTTTTTTAAACTATACAATTTCAATTTATTATATATACGCCTTTGAATTCTCTATAACATTACATATACGCCTTTGAATTCTTTATAACTTACATTTACGCCTTTGAATTCTCTATAACATTACACATGTTAAATTGTTACATTTTAGACGGCTTATTAATTAATCCTTTGCTAACCTCAAAGTCGCAGAAGTTGTCTTGTTCAAGGGCGAGAAGGAAGGCATCAAAAAGCTCAGTGTGGTCTCCCCATTTTGGACTGTCGCTCAGTGAGCTAGAGACGTCACGTGTTGTCTTGGTGGAGTCGCCGAGGAAAGCGATTGGTGCGTCATGGAAAGGATTTCTCTTTACTTCATTACTATAATCAAAAATGTTGAGTCATGTATATTTCAACGATAACTGTCTGAAACTGTTGCTTGTTTTGTTTTCAATATACAATTAATGTCTGAAAGTCTGAGATTAAGGTAATACCTATAGTGTCTCACACTTGTACCTGTTGGAAATATTGACTGATTTCCCTAATAGTACTGTTGCAGTTTAACTTGGGCTGTAATTCTCAATGAATTTAACTTTTATCTTAACACAAATTCACAAGTATTTGTAAGATGGCCCTTTACATCAACAAGAAGATTTCTATTTCTTATCGCTTCAACCTGAACAAAGTCCTCACTAACATTACAATAAAAAAAACATTGCATCGACATGGCCACGAGAGTCATATATTGTAAAACTGACAAGTTGAATTCAGTTACAAAAGTTTTCAGTACTCACGTGTTGGGGTCGGTGTAGGTCTCATCTGCGGCCAGTTTAGGGACAGATGTCCTAGGTTTGGTCCAGTCCCAGTAGGGAACACCGATGTTAGAGCCACGACGACGTAGGGCATCTTCAACCTGACCACAGAGAGTTAAATGAAGTACTATGGTTAGCTTAGCGGAATTTCTCACTAGTGTTGGTGTGTTACAGACCAAAACTAAAATGACGGTTTTAAAAAACTTTTTTATTTTTAATTCTAGGCTAAAACATTTTTTACTGCTAAGTTTTTAAATTTCTAAAAGAGTTATACCAATGAGCGACTTTTGATTTTGTAATGTAAACAATATCTCACGCCTTGTTGCCATGCCAACGTTGTTTCTTACCTGTACAACCAAGAGTCTGTGCCAGTGGGGAAAGGTTGGCATGCCGTGGATACAGCAGGCCTTCCTGTTCTTGGAATTGGGGTTGGGGCATTTGCCGGGGTCACCGTGGAACTCAGCGATAGCCTGGTAGCCATCAACACTCTTGTCATTCTGCACAAACGAATATATTGTTTGAATGAAGATCACGTGAACTCGTTTAGATGAAGATCACGTAGATTCGTTTAGATGAAGATCACAGGAAATCGTTTAGATGAAATCAGGTTGATTCAAGAGCAGATTAATTTAGATTTTTTTTTTCGTTTAAACATTACTCATTTGTTTCAAAAACGATTAGTTATAATTTTGAAAGTAATTAGATTTATGTGGACCATATAAACATTGACCTTGTACATGACTACAAGCACATACCTGGAATTTCTGGAGAGCTTCTCTGAGCTCGTAAATCTCCTCGTTGGTCAAGCGGTCAATGTCCTTACGGACAGAGATGCCCTCGTGATATTCGTGCTCATGGTTGACCTCGTTGTGAGCAATGGGAGCTGGACACAGGTGTGTGATGTGGTTTAGTCAAATTTTAAGTTACCAGTTTAAAATACATAAACAACAGAATGGGAAAATAATAGAATCATGTTTTTAATTTAACGACTTAATAATAGTGTTGACAGTTGCTATTTTGAAATAAACCAATACAAAATAGCATAAATAAGAAAAATAAAGTGTATAAATTAGAATGAACCAGTATAGATCAGAATAAATAAGTTTACATTTTTATGTAATTAAATTACTTGGCAAGCAGTAATTTAACTTTATGTCTTGGATTTTGAAGAATGGTTTCATTTGGTTTGTTCTTCTTCGTTTAAAGAATTATTTCCCTTTGTTTGTGTTTTTTTTTTTTTTTTGGAAGAGAGACTTCAATTTAGTCTTATTTAAATGATTACAACAATATAATCTGGAATGAGGCTCGGTACTATTTTGAATTTCATTTATTAAAAAATGTAACAGAGTAAATGCAAACAGAATCACGATCAACGTTTGATTTGACATACATTTTTAATACTTCTGAATGATGTTTAAATGAATTTATATGAAAATAAACATGAACTTCTTTGAAGTTTTCATCCCATTAGAATCTAAGACCTTAACGAACCTGAACACGGACATTGGCAGAAGTGGAAATGCCAGACAGACGGAAAACGGCGTATGAGGCAGCATGTGACCATTTCTCTTTCAGCAATCGCTTTATGCCGTTCAAATCATAGCCATTCAGGGTAAGGTTGTCGTATCTGAACAAACAGATAACCATTTAATTATTTGTTCATTTCAATTTTTTTTTAAATTTCATGAACATTTTATACTATAACATACTTTTGTTTTTTTTAACGATTAATACTTCTTTACAATTCACATCTCTTTACAATTCATATCTCTTTTAAATTCATATCTCTACAATTCGTATCTCTTTACAATTCATATCTCTTTACAATTCACATCTCTACAATTCGTATCTCTTTTAAATTCATATCTCTTTACAATTCATATCTCTTTACAATTCACATCTCTTTACAATTCACATCTCTTCACAATTCTTATCTCTTCACAGTGAGTTTGTTGTAAGAATTTTTTTAAATATTTAGTGGCTTGTTGTATTAAAAATTAAAATGTTCCAAACAATTATTATAAGTGATGAGACTTTATCTTGAACATGAATATAAAATGAATATAAATGAAATATTTACTTACTTGTATCCGTAGATTGAACCATCTATTACCTCCCTGGGAAGATTGAACTGTTTGGTAACAGCGAAAGGGTTGGTCTCCCAGTTGAATGGGGCCAAAGGCTCGTCGAAGTGTTTCAGGTCACACAGCTCGCATTTTCCGGTGCATCCGGGTCCTAAACAAAACATGGATCAAATGTGTGCTTGTTTAGAAACTATGGATCAAATGTGTGCATGTTTAGAAACTATGGATCAAATGTGTGCTTGTTTAGAAACTATGGATCAAATGTGTGCATGTTTAGAAACTATGGATCAAATGTGTGCATGTTTAGAAACTATGGATCAAATGTGTGCATGTTTAGAAACTATGGATCAAATGTGTGCATGTTTAGAAACTATGGATCAAATGTGTGCTTGTTTAGAAATTATGGATCAAATGTGTGCATGTTTAGAAACTATGGATCAAATGTGTGCTTTTTTAGAAAAGAGGGATCAAATTTGTGCTTGTTTAGAAACTGTGGATCAAATGTGTGCTTGTTTAGAATCTATGGATCAAATTTGTGCTTGTTTAGAAACTATGGATCAAATGTGTGCTTGTTTAGCTACGTTGGTTGAATCTTTTTAAAAAATTAACGAAAATGTGTATTAAGTAGAATATCCAGTGAGTTTAGAAATAAATACTTTGTATAGTTTTTATCTTCCCCTTTTATGTTTAAACTTATAATTGTATGCTGTTTACAAATACATTATAAAAAAGCTAATAATTCAACGAAATCTAAAAATGGCTGAAGGCGATAGAATGCAAAACGTACATTTCAAACTTTGTAGTAATTAGATTAATTAGACACAATTTGAGTAAATAAAACAATATATGTTAAAATTTAATAATGATTATATCAAATACAAATGTAGTCGTTTCAGCAAATGCCTTCATCCAAAAGAAAAAGAAAAAAAGATGCTGGCAAATTATTACTGTTATTTTATAGCATGATAGTGTTTTATTTTATAAACCAAATCCAGTAAGGCACTTCTTACCAGGTGTGTAGCCTTTGTCCTTCTGCAGGGCCTCGTAGATGGAGTAGATCTTGTCGACGTTGGAGTGGTGAAGGAAGAAGATGGGGTCGTATGAGGTGAACTCAAGGTGAGACATGGAGTATTTGTTACGTCCACCGACCAGGTAGTGAATGGTGTTGTGGGCGATCTCAAACTGGACCTCAAACTGGCAGTAGTTGGGGTACATGAGAGCGTTTAACACTTGCTCAAAAAGGTCTGTGTTTTGACCGGGTTCGACCTGTAAAAGCATTTTTTTAAAAAGCATTACTTCCGTGACTTAGCATCTTTAATTGAAGGAATTTTTACAAAATTACCTTCATAAAACTAACAGCCAGCCTGCAGGAGTAAACATCTTTATTTACATGAATAAACATCTTTATTTACATGAATAAACATCTTTAGTATCTTTATTTACATGAATAAACATCTTTATTTACATGAATAAACAGCATATATTTCATTATTTAAAAGCACTAAGCTACTTTTTGAAATGACAAAATTTATAGCATACTTTCATATTTAACACAATTTGCCCATAAAAAATATTATTAGAATGTTACTATACAATTGTGGTTAGTTACTATTCACGCACAGAATTTAATAAGATTAAACAAATGACTCAGTGGATAATTCATTTCTGCATCAAATTATTTCTATTGTACTATGCGTAATGTAAAAAGGTTGTATAATAAGAACCTTTTGGAAAAGTCTGTCATCTAGAGCTCTGGCGGTGTGCCTGATGACGGTCTTGGAGTTCTCAACGACCTCGATGTCTCCCTGGTACCAGACGTTCTTCTTGGCCTTGGTGCCGTCGCTCTCAATGAAGACCTGCTGGCTGACTAGGTCGGGCAGTTTGGTCAGTGGGCGGGTCCAGTCCCAGTATGGGATACCAATGCTGAGACCTGAAAGCAGACATGAACCTCTGAGTTGTGTTTGAAATTTTTGTAGTTTCAGTCTTAAAATCTGCCTATTCATTGCGGTTGTGTTTTAAACTGATAAGTTGATTATGAAGTTAAGTTGTTAATGTACACCTATCAAAATTGTGGGGGGCAATTTAGACAGAAATTCTTTTAAACAGCTCCCAAAATGTAATTAAATATACAGCCAATTCTTTGCTGCCTTCTCAGCTAAGTGCTATTTAATTCTGTTTTTTTCTGTTGTTTGTTCGCTGACCAAGGCTTCCTGTCAACATGTTCTCTGTGTTCCTATTTTCAGGTTTGACAATATTTTTTTTTTCTCATTTCCTAAATTGTTATTTAATATTACAATGAGTTCAAAACTATAAGTTGTTATTTAATATTACAATATGTTTAAAACCACAAGTTGTTATTTAATGTGTTTAAGGCCACAAGTTGTTATTTAATGTTACAATGTGTTTAAAACCACAAGTTGTTATTTAATATTACAATTTGTTTAAAGCTACAAGTTATTTAATATTACAATGTGCTTAAAACACAAGTTGTTTAATTTTACAATTTGTTTAAAACCACAAGTTACACATAATGAAAACTCCTTGGATGGCTGACACTCAAATCTAAGTTCATGACCATCGGCTAACAACAACACTTAGGAACACTGATCTCAACATAACGTAACACACTACGATGACAACTCACTAACGAAAACTCAATATAATTTAACACACTAAGACTATAATTCTGTAAGGACATCTAAACAAATCACTTGTTTATTGACCTTTTACCTTTTCATTCAATAACACAGCTAACCCCAAGTAAGCAAGACATGCTCAACTACCTCCCACTCACAGCCCGACCACACTCACAAAACCAGCTCATAACAATATAGTTAGTGATTATACAGAGACCTTAAAAGTATTAATCACAAATAGCACAATTTATTAGTATTATGTTTTGAAATATAATTTAATTTTATATATAAAGCAACATTTAAAATAAAAACTAATTTATTTGACAAAATGTTATCTTTGATTTTTACCTTTTTTACCTTTGCTGTTTTAAAAAAAAATACTCTCACCTTTCTCTTTGAGTGCCTGTTCCAACTGCACCACGTACAGCCTGTGCCATTGTGGGAAGACCGGCATGCCATGGACGCAGCAGGCGACTGGATGGTTGTTGGAGTCCTTGCACTGGGCCGGATAGCCGTGGTAAGCAGCTATGGCGGCATAACCTTTGGCGGACTTGTCATCTGCCACATCGCGGAGTGTCTTCTGCAGGTTGATGATGTCCTCCTCACTGAGGTTGTCAACATTCTTTCTGACCAAGGCGGCGTCTCCGAAACTCAGCTGAGGAGATGGAAGTTTGTGACGATATGATCAAACAAATGTTCAAACAATCAGAATGAGACCGACAACGTCTGTAGTGGTTAATTGTGGATTATTTCAACATAGTTATGACATAATAAAAGGAACAATGTTAAATACAGTCACCCGATGATGATACCATCACTGCTAAAACTAAATGTATCTATTGGATAATGAATTTAACCCTCGGGAGACGTAAGGGCCGATCTATCGGCCTGAGGTACACTAGCGAGAAAGACGTCAAGTCCGAGCCGTCAGCCTGATAGATCGAGCCTCACGATTGGCTGGCTTGGCGTTGTACCAGCGAATCAAAATTATTCATACGTATTCCTGCACATCCCGGCATTGTAATGGCGGCGTTTGTTGAAAGTGAACTCAATTTATTTGATTGCAGGAATTTTTGTGTGTGTGTGTAGTTACATCGTGAATTTCGAACAGGTCCGACAGTGACTCTGATCAAACTGGACTTAGTAATTTTGATGTTCTAGCAGTGAATTTGGCACTGAAACTGCTGAAAACAACCAGGAAATTAAAGAAGACTTTCAAATTGAGGGTAAAGCTAATGTTGTGAACTTTTGGTTTAGTATTACTAGTATTAGGGGTCCTCAAATGGACAGAGATGACCCCTCTGAATTTTTAGACAAAATGAGACTAATGAGTCCTATAAATAAGGCATAAGCACCCCATTTGAGTATTTTATGCTATTTTTTTTACACTAAATATCACTCAAATGTTTATGAGAGAGACCAATAGATATGCAGACAACTTTCTCAGTAACAAAACATCCAGCTTAAGAGAAGGTCCATAGGTCATAAATGGGGGCCTGTTACAGTGTGTCTGTAACAACTGAAAAATTGGCGATGGGGGCTGGAAAAGGAGTAGAACCATATGCCAGATGTATCTGAAGGGCCTCCATGGGTCTTGTCTCCCAAAAACATAAGTGTTAGGACTTATTCAGGCATCATCCATCAAAAAATTCACACAATTGATACAAGTAAGTCATGTTTAGTCTAGGTGTAACAAAAATTACATGCATAAATTATGCAAATTAGGATAGCTCATTTGCATAAATTTTGATATTTCAGTTTGATTCATAAATATTGTATTAGTTCATTCAATTTCCTACAAGAATATATATAGTTTTACATACATTAAGGGAATAGTTTATTTTTTATAAATTTTTTTGCAATGCGAGTGCCGAGCTCGTAAAAAGGCCTCCGTCTTTTTGGCACATACACCCCGAAAAGGCTCCGTCTCCAGAGGGTTAACTAATTTAGCTAATGAATGATCATTTCAACTATTATTTCACCTAGCCTTCTGATACTGAACTCATTCATAGTTAACTAGCTTTATAGGACGCAAAACAATGGCTTTATTTGACAGAACATGCATTCAAGAATAAGATTCCCAAATAAGTCGCAGGGTTTCTTTCAGTTTCAGTCACCTCTCGTGGCCGTAGCCGTAGCAAAATGGGGACAAAAATTTAACTATTATTTATTATTATATATTTTAAATATTATTTACCTAATTTTATATTTTTAAAAAACGACTATATTGTCTTTTTTCTTTTGGCTAAGTTTTTAAAAGAATAGTATTTGATGCCTTTAAACGATTACAATAAATGGAATCTATGAAATATCGCTACGTTAGTAACGTTAGATATAATTATGATCCGTAAATAAAGCCAAGCTTGTTAAAGGCTTACAGTATTTCATTATTAATATCGTAACCGCCGCTCCAGCGATGTATTACTTCCTGTAGTTTGCATAATATATCGGTATTTTAATAACACTGTATTTAATTACCTTTACATCAATATAAAGGTCTACAAAATTAATAGTAAGTTCTTGCTAAGTCTCAATCATGCGCAATATATTTTCAAATTATATTTCATTATAAAAGCATCACTTTTAAAGAAGAGATAGATGCTAATTATAAATTTTATGATGACATGATGGCAATTTTGGCAATAGTCTTTAAAAAATAAATATATTTATTAATCGATTCTAAAAATCTAAGTTATATAAAATGGAAACTTTAAAAAATGAGATTTTTTTTTTAAAAATAAAGAATGAATGGCATACAAAAAGTGCATATTTCATCAATTATTATATCGAAAGCGTTTGTGTTTTCATTTAATGTGCTACTTTTGTTACAATGTTTCCTGCATAACAGATTTTTTTTTTTTTTTTTTTTTACAGAGGTTAAAAAATTCATATCTTATGCCGCACCTTTTTGCACGAATTTTTTAAACTATTTTTTTTTTTTTTTTTTTTATTTAATGTGTTACTTTTGTTACAATGTTTTCTTTATAACTGATTTTTTTTTTTTTTTTTTTTTACAGAGGTTAAAAAATTCATAGCCTACGCCGCACCTATTTGCACGAATTTTTTAAACTATTTTTTTTACATGACGGGAATCTATCAGAAAGCTAAAAATATATATGTATATATAATAAAAATTTGGTTAACTAGCATTTGAATTGTCATTTCTAAAAAAAAAAATTGTTGGTACTAGTTTTAGAAAGAATTAAATTATGTGGATTTGTTGTTTTGTTTTTTAAAGTGTTTTAAAGTATATCTAAGACTAAAAGACAATTTGTAATTTATCTGAGAAATGTTATAGTGTTTTCAAATTACATGAAAACATTTTTATCAACTGTCTATTTCAAAATACAGAATCTATAGGCTAATTTATTTGCAGAAGATTTCGCTTAGATAAAATAATACATTGATAAATATAGAATTCTTTTGTAAACAACTTATGTTTTCTTAAAATAGTTATGCCGTTCTTTTACAATTTATAAAAATGACCAGTTTTCTAATCCCATAAAAATGTATAGACCTTTCCAATTAACATTATTTTTTCGTTTTGACTCCGTTAAAATTTGGAAATATGCCTATTTAGAAAAGGTAGTTTAATTATTAAAAGTAAGTTGTTTTGTTTTTTTTTCTAATTGCGTCCAGCATATAAAATCATGTTTGCGGTGCTTTCTAGTGATGGAACTCTTCTTACGTTTTTTTGTGTTGAAAATTCATTTATTTATTTAGTATCTGCAAAATAATGTCAAAATAAAATAAAAGGCATATTACTATTTTTAGAAATATATATATATATTTTTTTGTATAACACTAGCAAACTTTTCCGTTTTACGCCCCCCCCCCCACTTTTTTTCTTCTCCTATTTTTGCACCCTGCATTGAAAGATGATAATTAATAAAATATCCTCATCACATGATTAAACCACTAAAATATCCATCGTAAGGCTTGTTTGGTGCAAATTCTCATCATCAAGCCCCTTAGTCATTGGACCGTTGGGGCGCCACAGGTGACATGTTTATGTGTGGACACGATGGTTCTAAGGTTAAGTGACACCTACATTTTTAAACTAGGATCTCTTCCTTTACTCTCCAATTAGGTGTGGAATGTTGCAAAACTAAATTCAGATATGTTATAAAATGAATTATTGTAATTTCAATTTATCAAAAATTTTCTGTGGTCTATAAAGCTTTAATAGGACAGTGGTTGGCAAACCGCGGCTATTTAGCGACCTGAGTGCGGCTCGGCCATTCGGCCACAAATGGGTTTTGACTCCGAAAAACATTGTTCTTGGCAAGTTCTTGAATAGAAATATGGCTCTCAATTTTTTTAAATTGTCCTGCTGCTTATTTTTGGCATTTTGACTAATGAGTTCTCCGATTCAGTAATTAGTAATAGGCGATATTGAGCTAGGGCAAAAGCTTAACCTCAAGGGTGACACAACTAGAATGAATATAGTTTACATCACACTGGTGTGGAATTTAAGATGGCTTTAATCATTATTATGGCTAATTTTGGAATGCCCAACCGAAAGTTTGAAATGCAACCTCAAAATGGTCTGAAAGAAACAAAAAATTGCCCGACTGTCTTTGGCACCCTAAATATCTGGACCCCCTCACTCACACTGGTCAATGGTACAGTCTGGGGTTGATTATAAGCTTATGCCAAATGACCACTCTGGGGCGGGATGAATTCAGTTTATGTATGACACTAGACGCCATAATGCCTCCCCCCCCCCCCCCCCCCACAAGACCTTAAAAATGTCCTTTCCCGTTCAAACAGTATAATAGAAACATTGAATTCATGTATATTCAAAAATACACCTCTTGATTTTGAAATAATCAAAAATTTTCTGGGTAGCTTCCCTCTATCGCGCAAGATTCATCATAGCCCTAAATTTCCGCCCTACTTCCCGATGAAAATGATCACCGATTTTGGTATCGATAGATAAACTGCCCAGTGGCGCAGCTGTTACTGTCGCCATGGGCGGATAAATCTTTTTGCCGTCCTCCCTCTCACGATACAGTTGTCCGAAAATGCCACACATGTATATAAAGAAAAAGTGGCACCTCGGTGGACCCACCCTATTTCGACGCCACTAGCAGGGGCGTATCTACAGTGTTTGGTGTGAGGGGGCAAGATTCATTTTTACGCCCCCCCCCCTCAACTCTGAAACTGATTAGGCCTACTTTCAACCAGTAAGTTAATCATTAAACACCATCCCCCATTAGTCTGGCGTCCGAGGCATATGCCCCCATATGTCACCCCTTATCTACGCCTCTGGCCACTGGCAAATGACACAGTACCCCCCCCCCCCC